GCTTGTCCTTTGTGGTCTCCCCTCAGCCCTCAAGGGCTAAGGCACAGGGCTGCTCTGTCTTGCTCTCACTCTTCTTTGGCATGGCTTTGCTAGGCCTCCTCTGTATTAGCCAGAAGACAAGGCCCGTTTTTCACTTACCTCACAAGCAGACAGCAGAAAGTGCAGCATTCCGAAGGGTCATGAGCATAGCAAGTGGCTGGAGACAGGGAGGAGAGAGCAGAGCTTCCTAAGTAGACTGAGAATCTGGGCCCTGCAGGACCAGCACTCATGCTGTAAGGCCCGGGTTGTCTATGGTCTACAAATGGGAACAAGATGGGAATCTTGGTTTTGTTTCGTTTTGTTTTGTTTCCATTTATTTCTTATGACTTTATAGAATGTATGCTAGTTACAGTGTTCAGCACACTTACGTGCTAGTCATGGACATTTACTTTCCAGGAAGTACTACAACCTAGAGAAAATTAGCCTCATCTACTGATTTCTATGATGTTCATTCAAATCATGGTATTCTCAGTAGGAGGAAAATCATTATTTCCCATGAAATGTTCAGGAGATCAACTTCCAGAGACATCCCTTTTTTTAATTTGTTTACTTATGTATATGAATGTTCTATTTGCATGTGTGCTTGCATGACAGAAGATGGCATCAGACAAAAGAGGGCATCAGATCCCATTAGAGATGGTTGTGAGCCACTGTGTGGTTGATGGGATTTGAACTCAGGACCTCTGGAAGAGCAGTCAGTGCTTTTAACTGCTAAGCCATCTCTCCAGCCCTCCAGACACATTCTTAAGTTTGCCATTGTTCACTTTCTGTAAATAGATTGACTAAATTTGTAAGCATTTTGGGTCAGAAGCAGAAAGGTTTGCTGAAAATTTTTCAGAAGCCCTGGATCCTAATCACAGACTTCAACAGCTACATGACTACCAGAAGGTACTAGAGCATGTAAGGTGACATGCCTAGGCCACTGAAGGTGGGAGAATGGACCTTTCCTCTCTTAGTGCTCTAAGGTCTGCAGTAGGAACCAGCCACTGCTGGGTGCTCTGAGCCTCACTCAGAACAGCCTGACACAGTGAACTCACACAGACCTTTGCAAATGACCTGAATTAGTCTTCACACCCTACCAGTACCTTGATCAAGTGAGTTCTCCTTGACCTCAGACCCCTTAGTGTATACAATTGTAATAGATAATGCCCCCACCCCCCACATGAGAATAGAGCCCACACGTGCAAGTGCTTGTCAGTGTGCTGAGCACCCAGCAGACTCCAGAATGATGGCTTTTTTTAGTTAGATGGTGAGAAAACTCATCAGGTACCACCTGCTGTTAGAAGGACCTTCTTTAAAATGATGGGGCCTTAAACTGTGGCCTGTGTAACCTGAAAACCCCAGCCACAGCCCTTTCTGGAATCTCCTGGCTTAGAGTTCTCAGTCTGTTTTCTAAAATATGATCCTTGGAAGTGAAGGGTCTATTAGTTTAGATGTTTAACCATTTCATGTGTAGTGTTGATTAAGGCTACAGTTTAGTTTTCTGGGTAGCCCTCTTCATATTAAAGTGTGTGCTCACTGTGTTAGCAGGAACATGCCCAGTATATGCTAGAACTTGGCTTATTTTACTTCAGCAAACAATGGAGCAGGAACATCGGGCATCAGAGAGTCTCTTTAGTGACTGCTGTGTGGCTGAGGGGATTCAGGTGGGATCTGCTCTGCTCTGTACTTGTATTGCATGCCCTTGTCAAGGGAGCATGATCAGGCATCGTAGGTCATCACTTTTCTCCTGGGTCATACATTTTCAGTTTTGTGCTTAAATGTATTTGCATGACTACAGTAGGGCGCTCCCATTTAAACCCATGCTAATATCCCCAGCAAAGCAAATGGGTTGCTTTCTGGGCTGCCTCCTGCTCAAGGTTATTTTTCGGACTACAGCTCTACATGAAGTTGATAACTCTGAGGAGACTGTAGTAATCTCATTTACCTGTCTAAGCAAGGCATGACTTGGAATTCTTTGTTGAATTGTCAAATTCCATTGGCTTAGGCCAGGCGGAAGCTCCACTGTGTTAGCAGGAATGTGCCCAGCTTATGCAGTATGGGAACGTTATGTTTAAAGCATACTATGTGGCAAGTACAATACAGATGTTTGGTTTGCACAGAGGAAATTATTTCTCACAGCATCCCTTTTGTATCGGCTGTCACCGTCCCTACTTTATATCTGAGGAAATAAAGGCAAATGCCATGGGTTAAATAGCAGGGCCAGCCTTGGGCTTAGTTCTGGGTCTAGTGCCTGTGGCTACCACATCATTGAGCCAAATTCCAGCCATAATCTGTAAGAAGGGGGAGGAGGAATGAGGAATCAAGTAAAGTAGTGTGGATTATGATTTTCCTAAGTAGACAACTCCCTTCCGAGATAATCTCATCCCTGCTTTGGCAAAACAGCCACTTACTAATGTTGGTGGATATCATGTGTGGTTTGGGGTATAGGCCATAAGCCTATTTAAAGTGGCCTTCCAGCCACTCCTGCAGCAGTGCTGGGAGAGAGTAGACACTGGAGAACTAGATAGACTGCTGCACCAAGTACTCATGGCACCTGATAACAGAATGTGGGCTTGTGGGTACAAAGCCAAGACTGCTTCTTCCAGTATTGACTCTTGACGTCCTCAGCCTCAGAGACCACCCATCCAAACATCACACTACCTGCAAGGGAAAAGGACCGTACTTTCGCATTACACCCAGTACTTGGGAGTGGGGGCTGTTTTACCACTACTCTAAGATTATTAGGAAAAATAATTTTGGAAATTGGCTGCCACATCAATGCCATTTAAGAAGATTACTTGGTACTTTACATATTTTCAGAAAAGTAAAAAAGAAAAAAATCCATTTTTGCCAACTTTATTTTTAGAAAAGTATTTTATTCAAACATCCCCTTACTTATTACAGACATAAATACATGCATTCAGACAAATGAATACACGAGAGAACCGTATAAAGTAATTGGCACATCACTCCAGGATGCTTTGTCAGTTACGGGAAGAATTTGGTGCCTCTAACTTTAATCTTCTCCATTAAAATATCCATTCTGCTTCAGATTGTGAAGCCCATAATATTTTAGACTGTCTCCGTGGATCTGTTAGTTTTGCTTGTCAATTTAATTTGTGCTCTATGACTTTGAGTGGCTTGCTCAACTGTTCATAGGAGCATGTGATCTACAAAGGATGTTGAACCTGCCAAGGCGTGGAGTCCTAGCCTCTCCAGAGAGACTGGACATGGAGTGTTGGTGTTTGCATATAGACTGGCAGATTTCGTTTAACCAGCGTGATCGTGATGGTGAGGGGAATGGCAGCCGCTGAGAGATGCAGAGACACACACTGCTGGTGATAACAGGCCTTCGGTATCTGCAGGGTGCATTCTGTGCAGCACTGCTCAAACACTGTCTCATCTCATTCTCAGAACTTCCTTGGGCTGGATTATTTCTTTCCCTCTTCAGAGCTAATGAAAACAGTCACTGCAAGAGCAGTTCAGTTACTTGCCAAAGATCACAGGATAAATTAGATCACCAGAACCTTTTGCTAGGGGCAGGGAGATGGCTCAGCAGATAAGTAAGCACCCATGCAAGTGTGAGGACCAGAGTTCAGGTCCCTAGAACCTACATAAAAGCATAAGTACTGGGTGAGTATAATGGCGCGCCTATAATTCCAGGGCTCAGTGTGCATGGAAGCCCACTGGCTAGATGGGCATTAGCCTCAGGCTGTGGGCTCAGCAATAATTAACTCAACTACCTCAATAAATGAAGTGGAGAGCATTTGAGAAAGACACCCAACTTCACCCTCTCATATTACACATGTAAATGAATGCATGCATTATACATTCATACTCTAAGTAACAGGGAGGTTGCCAAGAACTCAAAGCAAACCAAGTCATCCAAGTCTAGTTGGGGTGGTGTTTGTGGGGTCTTGCCACACAGTTGTCCTCTGTTCAGCAAAAGAGCTCTAGAGCTATAGGAGCAGACAAACTGCAGTGGGAAAAGTGAGCCCACTTGACAGTCATCTGGCTGGACTGTGGTCATAAGCTCACCCTGGCCTCCTGCCTGTTCCGTCTCATGCCCAGGACAACACAAGCCCATCATTAGCTACCTTGACCTCAGGATAAAGTCTAGATTCCTCACCATGGTCTTCCATTGTGGTCATGGGGTCTCACTTCTCTCTCCTGCCTTACTTCCCTGCAGAACCCATCATGTTCGTTCCCACCCTCTCCTTGCTTTGCCTCTTGGTCTCCTTATGATGAACTGTTTGGGTGTTACCTGCCCTGTGCCATCTCCCTGAGTGCCTGTAAGAACTTAAAGGCATTTCCCCCCCTCTGCATGCTGCTGCTCTTTTTCTAGACCTTTTCCCCACTGTTTTCTCTTGGTGACTTTCCTAGCAAGCTCTCAGGTCCTAGGCAAGAGGTTGCAGTAGATGCTTGTTCTTTTATCTGTTCTATGCGTCTTATAAACTCAGAGGTTAAATATGTACATGTAGGGGTGAGTGAGCGATTAGTAATGAATGATTTGAAAAACAAGAGTCCAGTCTGAGCCAGCAGGAAACATGCCATTCTGGGGTCTCATGGAAAGTGTTTCATTCCACTCAGTGATGAGCTGTAGAGAGGTGTCCATTAACATCACTAACTATTTGGTGCGGTGAGAAGCAGACAGGACAGTGAGCTGGGCCTTTACCCGGTACCTAGCATAAAGCAAAGCAAATAGGACATGAGAAGCAGAGACTGCACCTACTGGCTCTGTGGCATCTTCTGCTCACCGTGAAGGTTCTCCCCAAGCTTTTGGTGGTAGAGACTCTTCCTCAGGGTGTGGGGTGCATAGTTTACATAAAAGTCTATGCTTCCAGAGTGAGCACCGAGTGTTCAGGAAAAGCTCTCCTGTCACCAGAAAGGTGGAGGGAAAGAAGGAGTACATAGAAAGCCTGGGATTCAGGCAAGCTCTAAGCCAAGGGTCCTGATTATCATGTGACTCTGTCTTCTAGATGATGTCTGTCCTCATGAACACCATTATCTTTGAAGACTGTCGGAACCAGTGGTCAGTATCCAGGCCTCTCCTGGGGCTCATCCTGCTCAATGAGAAGGTGAGTGTGCTTTCAGGGAGGGCCACAAGAGAAAGAGGTGCTTTTAGACCCTGAAGACCATGGGCTCGTGAGCTGGGGCCTTGGCAGCCTAGAAGGCCTTTACCCAAAGGCTTCAGATCTTCTTCAGTTAGCAGGGGCCACAGAGGCTACATACTGTGTAGATTACTTGGCAGTATTTCAGAGTCTTTCTCACTTTCCTTGCTATTCCAGGACAATTCTGAGCAACAGCCCTTTTGCCTTCTCCTCCAACCTCCCTTCATATCTGGGGACCCTGCACACAACCACAGGTGATGACAGTAGCAGCCCTTGAGAGACTGCATAGAGCCAGTACCCTTCATATAGGAGGATGCATCCCAGCCTCCTAGCACTCTCCCTACCCTTGACGACCTCCCAAGCATCCTGGCTTCGTTTGGAACTCACCCTGGCCCCTCGGCAGTCAGTGAGAACAGTGCATTACTGCTTGGGAGAATGAATTGTCTATACAATAAGATAGTACTGGGAAAAAGACAGTGAGATTAGAGGCAGCCGCATACATTAAAATTCAAACTAAAATCCCAGCCTTGGAAGGAAACTAATAGAAGAAGAAAATATATCAAAAAGAGAAGAGCTGTCTCATCACTCACCTGTGCTGAAGTATCCAATTTTAGCCACATTCAATAGCACTGCCATTCATCTTCCCTCGGTGTTATTGTGATTTAAATCCAGGCTCTATAAAAGAGAGCAGTTCTTTTAAAATGATTGAGAGGGAATAAGGGCAAATTCGGTGTTTAGAAAAAGCTTATGACATCACAATATTATACTTTACTGATGGAGGCAATATTTCATGGTTTAGGATGAAAAACTAATAATTTTCTATTTGGTGTGAGTCACTGCATCATTATAAAAGGGAAAAATAAGTAGTTTTGTGCATTCCCAATCTTGTTCAGGAAGACATTGTGGTTTGAGTATAATGCCTCTGATATATAGTATTTAAGCATTAGTCTGACTGCATATTAATTATGTGTGTTTTCTGATGTGAGCTGTTTTAATGTATGATAGAAATTAAATAGCGTACAGCTTGGGCTTGAAGAGATAAACATATGACTGGCAAAATGTTGTCTTTTGCTGAAATCCGGCTGTTCCCAGTGATTAGGAGTTCTGCTCAACATCAGAGCTTATGTTTGTATAAAAGACCACAGACCCCAGCAGATAAAAGGGGGCTGAGCAGCTGTTTGTGACCAGGTGTGACAAATACTGTTCTTAGTGCCAGCAAGTACTTCCAGAACTAAGCATACCCCTTTAGGACCCTGCCTCAGCAGAGCAGACCCGTGCAACCCAGGACGACAGGCTTGGAACACAGCCCAGAGCTCCTTGAGAAATGAGTCACTGATGCCAGGAAAGATGAGGAAGCCAGAGGGGAGACCCTTGGCCTTGCCTTCAGTCACCTAAGTGCTCCCTTAAGCTCTTTTCCACAGCCTGGAGGCCCTTCTTCTTTTAGCCTTCCTGTGATGATGAACCCCAGAAGACCCTGGGTTCAGTCCCCCACAATGGAGGCAAGGACTCCATCAGGCTAAGCAGTGACAGTACTGCAGTCACAGCAAGAGATTCTTAGGAGCAAGTTGGGGGACAGGCTTGACATGGCACAGCTAGGTTCATGGTACACCTCTGCCGCTTAGGTTTTCTCTAAGGCTAGAAAGTCCAGTGTGGACCTGCATGCAAACCCTTGAGCGCTAGTGGGCCCAGGTAGATGCCTAGCCGTCCTGGCTTCCCGCTGCTTCCTTCCTGCCTGGTTTGGAATTGGAACCTGAGCCTGAAACCTCTCTGTCTCCCAACAGTACTTCAGTGAACTGAGAGCGAGTCTAATAAACAGCCAGCCCCTCCCAAAGCAGGAAGCCCTTGCCCAGTGCTTCAGGAACTTGATGGAGGGCGTGGAACAGAACCTGTCTGTCAAGAACAGAGACAGGTGAGCACTGCCCAGTGGGGTATCTCTGGAGGATGGGGCAGTCCAGGCTTGTTAAAAATAACTGGACTATAGTTAGCACAGCTCACAGATTGATGCAGATTTTCTGTTACACTTTGTGATTTTTTTTTGCATTTTTTTATTACAGTTTATTCACTTTGTATCCCAGCTGAAGCCCCCTCCCCCATCCTCACCCAATCCTACCCTCCCTCCCTCTTCTTCTCCAATGCCCCTACAGCAGCTTCACTGCTGCGTCTCTTCAGCAGTAACATGGAGCTGATGGTGGCAGCGATTGTGGTGTTTAAACAACAGAACATAGTAAAGCAGGGTTCTTGGGCCAGTGACACATTAAGTGTTGGTTTCTTCCTCTGCCTAGCATCATTGGCCAGTGAGAGCTAACCAAATTCATCACTGGGACTGGATTCATTTGTTCGTTCGTTCGTTCGTACATGCATACATTCATGCGTTCAGTTTATAGGACTGCAGCATTGGCAACCTGTGGTAAACAAACTCTTCTAAGTTCTGCTGCCCTCGTGGAGTTTACATCGTAGTGGATGAGACAGACAGTGGTCGGTGATAAGGGAGAAAATGTGTTCAAGGAGAAAACTGCCCCCGCTGACTTTCCTCAAACGCTGTAACCTGCTGAGCCTTCACACTGACCTCCAAGCATAACTTTAAATTTCTTAACCTCCAGTTTCTAAGTGCTGGGATTACAGGCATAGGCCACCATACCCAGCCTATATAGTGCTGGGATCAAACTTGATGTGTAGTATACAGGCACTCTCCTAAAACACACACACACACACACGCTTGCACCCTTTTCACCACATAGTGCCAGCCAAACTCAAACTCATAGTCCCTCTACTCTGTTTTCTGACTGCTGGCATTATAGATGTGAGCTGCTTCCCTGTCCCCCACACCCCACTTTTTATTCTCTAAATTCCATTCTACTTGAGGATACTAATATCTACCTTTGGGAAGACCTGTAATGACTGAAACATTCGTATATAAACTCAATCCAGTAATTGAGATGCAGGTGTAAATTTTTTTAATGTTTTATATGGTGGAACTTTAGATGCTGTCCGTCCCTAAACTACTCAGAGTGGGCTTGGTGGTGACTCTTGTTTTGGGGGCAGGATGGTGCTCGTGGCAAAACGGGCCCAACACAGAGGAGCCATCCTGCAGGCAGAGCCCTCGTCTGGTCCTGCGCTCCATGGTGCCCTGGTCCAGCGTTTCATGTGGCCTGCATGTTCACTTCTTCTCTTTCCACAGGTTCACACAGAACCTCTCCATCTTCAGAAGAGATGTGGCAGAGGCCCTGCGTAATGATGGCCACACAGAACTGTGCAGCCTGGACATGATGAGCTGACCCAGCTCCTGAGCGCTGGCTGTGCAGCCTTTGTCAAGAGACTCTGGAAGGTCTGGGTCGCAGACTGTGATGCTGGACAGCCCAGAAGAATGTATTTTTCAGAAAAACAGCAAAGCCCTACATTTTTATAAGTCTGACCTAATTATAAAAATTTATAATAGTGCACATACAATGTAAATCCAGTATTCAAAGCAGAACATGTTTTCCGTCCATCTGGGTTCCCACAGTGCTAAAGGTCTAGAAACTATATTTAACCAAAGAACATAATAAAACAGGCTAGCACCTGCAATCAAGGTTGTCGATTTGGTGAAGATGCAGCCTTCAGTGTGTGTCCTGGATTGAGACAAATGCCATTTGAACCTTTTGAATTAGTAGTTTTTACATCTGGAAAATGCTCCATTAGGGACTCTGGGCTGTGGGCATTTAGAAGGAGCCAGGGAACACCATAAAGCCGCCCTCAGAACTACATACAGGCCTCTCTACCCAAGCAACATCTGATAAAGTTGAGAGACAGTAACACAATTAAGTGACTTAAAAACAATGTTTGCTTTCCGTTGGCATAAATCTGAAGCTGTTCAGTCTAGAAGAATTAAGCAGTGCAATTTCTGCCTGCAGAGAGATGTCTTTAGGACTCTGCAAGCCCCGGTTAAGACCCTCTGGGTGCACCAGCTCCTCATCCTCTTGGCTCCTTGAAGAGAAGCTGAGGATGGTGAGGAGTGCTTGAAGCATCTCTGCTTCCTTGGACCACCCAGAACAGTTCAACTGCTGCCTTCCACCTTCCACACTCTTAACCCACTGTTGGATCGTGGCTTCATCCAAACACAGGAAATGAAGGCCTTTGCAGTTTGTGTTCCATCATAACTAAGCTATTAATTTGAAATTGCCACTGTCAAATGGGCTTCCTATCTCAGTGCTCTGCCTTCATAGTTCAGGCTTACAATAAACACTGTGCCCGTTATTTCTGATCAGACATGAAAGGTTGGCCCCAGTGTTGCAGGGAAGAAATCCACAGGCTCTTGTTATAATCTCATTTCTCAGACTAGCGTTTCTCCAAATCTTTCTTGATAGTTGATTTTCGCAGCAAGCAGGTCACCTAAGTTCCTCTCCAAGTGTTTGTCCTCCATGTGCAAAGGGAGTCAGGGGAAACGGTGGTCTGGAAGAGACTGCTTGTGTTTCACAGACAGGTAAGCCTGAACCTTACTCTTCCCACTCCCTTAGGAAATATATCTCTACTAGAGAAGACAAATCCTGTGCTTTGAAACATCAGCTTTCAAAGGAGCTTGACAAGAATTTCCCCTTGGTTTTTGTTTTGTTTTTAATTTGTTTAGTTTTGGAGTTTGAGCCTCCCTCTGTAGCCCAGGCTGGCCTGGAACTCACTGTGATCATCCTGCCATAGCCTCCTCAGTGGAGGTTGGCAGGTGTGGGTCACAATGCCTGGCTTCTGCAGTCGGGGGCAGAGTAGTTCTAATTGCATTCACTCCACAGAAGCTGCAGATGCTTATCCCATTCTAGTATTGTTTTGTTACAGATGCCTAGAGTCAAAAACACTATATTGTTTGCATTAAAATGTTGACAAGAAAAGAATGGTGTGTTCTCTTCTTTTGGCCACACAGCCAGAGATCACGTGAGAGCAGGTGGAGCCTGGGCAGACTGGCCTTGGAGAGCTACATTTTGAGAAGCAAGGTCAGCCTGTCTCCTGGTGCCTCGGTGGGCTTGAATGGTCGACTTAGCAAGCACTTTGGGGGCCCACTTAGGAGAAGACAGTCGGCAAGCATGGAGCCCCTACCCTGACCCACACTACCTCCCACTGTGCACACCAGGAAGTAAGGCCCAGAGATGACTTGTAGCTGACAACTTGTACAGGAAGACTTTTTTCACCCAGATCTGTGCTGGCTGCCTCTCGGGTGGTAAATGGAAATGCCACTGATATTTAGATTCATTTCTACCTGTTTCTCAGAACTTGGTTATTAACAGTAAATTACTCCGAAACTGTGGTAGCTTCAGGCCTGGAGATGTAAGTCAGTGGTAGAGCATATACCTAGTGTATATGATGCCCCAGGTTCTAGCTCCAACACTTAAAAAGAAATAAAAAAAAAATAATAAAAATAAAAAACAAAAACCCCTGAAGTGGCTTAAATTAACAGCTCCCAAGTCAAGAAAGGGAGAAGCCTGGCTGGGTCCTGGTGTAGTCACTCACAGGCTACCGACACTCAGGTGGTTGGCCAAAGTTATGATCACAACCCCAGTGAGGAACGCCTGCACACAAGCCCGTGTGTGTGTTTAGCAGGAGTCAGCACTGCACAGGTGTCATCAAGGAGTGGGGCTCAGCACACAGGCCTTAGCTTGTAGGAAAGAGCCAGAGACTGCGAGATCCAGTGACAGTCTTCAGCCACCACGCGCTAAAGGGCTTCCGTCCGATGCTATGAAAATACTAATCCCGTCCCGCACACCAGGAAGGCCCTCACAGTGACCGACTGGATGCGGGAGTCAGGAACTATTGGAAGCCACATTCTTCAAAGTTGTCGGCCACAGTCTGCCTGGCCTTTGCCACACAGGTTTCTCCCTTAAACTAGCAAGTTTTCTAATCTTGATTTTCCTTGGAAGTTCCACTGTGATCCCTTCCTCAGAAAGGAAAAGGAAATGAGGAAGCCAAGTGTTGAGAGGTCACCTTCACAGCACCACAGGCATAACACCAGCTTGGGACCAGCAAACCCACCAAAGCTTAGGAGGCCTGTGGGGACAAAGACCTGCAGATTTAATTCAGGCGTGGCCTCCGGAAACATTCTAGCCCAGTATTAAAGCCAGCCTATTAAGACACCCAGCCAACCTGCAGAGGGCACATGGAACCAGCTCAGATAACCAGGTGCATCTGCCTACCTTGGTTCAGCAATAGAAAAAACACAGTGCTGCCAATTCCACTGGCCTCGCCACGTGGTAAAAGCAAGGTGTGGGATGTGTTTGCACCCCTCCCCCTTCTAGAGAGATTCTGGTGTACAGACATTCTGCATGGAGCCAGCCGTGCAGTTGTGGGTATTCTGAGATACTTCTCACTCTTCAGGCTGTGCCATCAACATCCAGGGCTGGACAAAAGGAACATACGGTCCCTGCACTGTGTGTAATGGCCTGAACCGCCCAGAAAACTCCCCTTGGCTCCCTGGAGTTGCTTCCACTGGCATGACAATCTCAGGGAGGCCCCTTCCAGAATGCAAAGGTGCGCTGGTTAGAGCTAATAATAGAGATGAGTGGCCAGGCTATTTCAGATGCACTGCCCATCAGAATAGGGCAGGCTGCTGAGGGAGCCTGAGAGTAAATGCCCTGTCATCCTACCCTGTCCAGATGTTTGGAGGAAGGAGTATTTTAGAGTCATGACCAGGAATGGAGCCCCTGGAGAGAGAAGCAGGACCTGGGGTATGGCTCTGATGGACCATGTATATGCTTCCATCCTGGCACCAGTTGGCAGGGACAGAGCAAGAGTAGGAAGGAAGCCATTGCCAGAGAACCAGAACCACTCTAATACTGAATTTGCCTGCTAGACCTTGCTCCCCAGTAGGAATGTCAAGTACTGTTTTCCCTGTTTCAGAAGTGAGAAAAGAGACTAATAGACTGAGAGATGAGGAAAGGCAACATAGCTAGACCGTTCCCCAACTCTATCCAAGAGGCAAAGAGGGAGTTGGCTTATTAGTCCACACAGTCAAGGTACATCCTAACTCTGTCCCTCCCCAGGAGCAGAGGTCAAGGACCTCTCCCCTAAGGCAATTGTCCTTGAAGCCTCAAGCCTTCAAGCAGAACCCATTGCCTGGAGCCTTCCCCCCACCCCCTACTCAAGCTGGCAGGCAGCCTGAGCCCAAGTTAGATGTTCCTAACTACTATCTGACTTTTTTCTACTTAATCTCAAACTGGGTCCTCTGAAACTGGTACTAAAGAGGTAGACAGGGACCCTTCGGGCTCCGCAACCCATGGGACTAGATACTTTGGGAGAAAAGCCAGCCTGCCTAGACACTTTGAGCTGTGCCTGTGAGCCTTGCCATTGATTCATCCTCCTGCTGTACTTCATAAAATCGTTCTTGAGACTTTTTAATGTTTTATTGAGGTGCAAGTTTACGAGGAAGTGAGCCTTTCCAACTACAGCAAGAGTAACCTGCCTCCTTGGCATATTAAAAAATAATGTTAGTGTCGAGTTTTACGTCCCACAGTTTGGATTGCTGATAAGAGCGCTTCCCTTGACAAGATTCTTTTTGAGGTTTACAGAAAGCGTAATAAAATATGTAAGTTACATCTCCACAAACAAAAGCTATAACATAAGTTATTTATAAGCGTGAGATACAAACAGTATCACGATAAATAAGCCATAAAGGATACCTGCAACATCCATCTTAATGTAATTTGCCCAACAAAGGGGTTGAGACGAAGTCAAATTCAGCAGAGAAAATTTGTCAGGAAGGGAGGAAAGTTGTAGACCACAAGCTGGGGGAAATGGCTGATGGGTGAGGGAGAAACGGGTCTGAGGTGAGACTTGGAGACCCCTGACCAGACTGCAGCATATGCTTGCCCACGGGGACTGCCCCGCCCCTCCTGCCCCACACAGCCTGCCATCTGCACCCAGTCACATCTCCCACAGCCCTCGGCAGCCACCAGCCCCACCCCCTAGGAAAAGGAATATTCTAGTCCCCTTCCCTCCTGCCCCACGGCCTCATGCTACTGCCAGCTCCCTCCATTCGTCCACTCAAGGCCGTGGTCTGAAAGTGACCAAGCCCAAGGATCCTAGGGGGCCTTCCCTTCCTCTACTCCAGCGGTCCTCAACCTGTGGGTCATGCCACCTTTGGCAAATTTCTATCTCCAGAAATAATTGCACTATATTTATAACAGCAAATTTATTGCTATGAAGTAGCAACGAAAATTATTTTATGGTCGCAGGGGGTCAGCACAACACGAGGAACTGGATTAAAGTGGGGCGGCATCAGGAAGGTTTAGAACCACTGACCTCCTTTACTTAACCCACCAGTGAGCCAATGAACGAGACCAAGTCTCTACCCTCACAGAGCTTGTGGGCTGTTCCAGCAAATCAAATGTAACACCGTACATCAAGGACCAGAAACGGGGATACAGATGATCTGGTGCCAGGGGTGCTGCGGAGGATGGGGACGGGGCGGGGGAGAGCTGACCCAGAACTCTTAAGGATGCAAAGGTCCCAGCCATGAGGTGAGCCAGAATGGGGTCCACAAGTTTCTGAGCCCAAATCCTCATCGTTTTTTCTTTACTCCCTCATCTGCGCTGAGTAGATACCACAAATTTAATGCACTGAGCCCAGACTCAGTTTACCCTAAGAGAGCTCCCAGGCCACCACAAGAGCCCTCACCTGCACACCTGGCTCCTTTACCCAGACCCACCCAGGAGCAGAAATAGTGGGTGAGGGAAAGGAAAAGTGGGCCTCGTAGTCCACATACTCAAGAGACAGCTCAGCGCTAGCCTCCACATGGCATGAGTGGAATAAGCACCTCACTTCCCTAAGTCGATTGTCCTTGAAGCTACACACCCTGTAGTGAGTTCTCATACACACCACCACCTCGGGCTTCTCCTCCTTCCAGCTGGCAGCCTTGAGCCTTCTCAGATCCCCCAGGAACTTTCTTCCCAAAGCCCTTTCCACTCTGGGAAGCTGTGATAAGGACTCAGATTTCATTGCTCCACTAATCAGACGGAGAAAGCAAGTACGGAAATCTGTGTATCTAGGAAATCTGGGTATGCGCTCAGTAAATAGTTTTTGAATAAGTTGGGGCAGGTTTAATTTTCCATCCTGAAACCTAGAAGGACCCTACTCTCCTCCAAAGGATGTGTAGGATGTAGCTGGCAGGCCAGCAACCTGTAACGTGCTGTGTGTGCCTTTTATGCAAGTAGACCATCACACTTCCTCAATCCTTCAACTAGGACAACTGGTCTGGACACACTCAGGAGCCTTGACTCAATCCCTACACTATTTTAAAGACAAGAAATCTGAACTCCAAATCACATAGATAGCAGAGGAATTTGAGCTGTCTTCGTCCAGACTCATGGACCACTTGCAAACTCCAGTACCCTGCCATTCATCCCAAAAGCCCCACCTCTCTCCTGAAGGACTCCCAGCAAGGCCATCCTTTCTCCCAGTTTCACTCCTGGGGGACCAGGGGAAGATTCCTGCAGCCTGGAAGTTTCTAGGTCCCCAAGAGTCCTGACTCCTGTTCCCTAGCTCTTAGAATATGCATTTTTTAACCATTCTCTTCAGGGCATATGCCCTTCCCCCACCTCGGTGTTGAATTAATAGCAGCTACAAAAGAGCAGCAACTTCACAGTTTTAGGAATACTAAATGCATAGCAAAACATATTCAGCCAAACCAGGTTTGAAGGAGACAATATTGTCTTGATTACTTAAAGAAAAAAAAATTACTTAAAAAAAGGAAGAAATTTTTACAAAATTAAATTTTCACCACAACAAAAAAGAAATGAATTCATAAAAAAGTAAAAACAAAACGAAATTCATGGAAAAGATGACTCAAAAAAAACAAAACAGACAACAAGGGGTGGGCATGTAGCTC